ATTTGGCATTTTACAAAATCACCCATTTTGAGTTCATTTCTGTGAAGGGCGTGAGGTCTGTGTCTAGGTTCACTTTGTCTGCATGTAGATGCCCATTTGCGACAGCAGCATTTATTGAAAAGACTTTCCTGTTGTCCTGCCTGTGCCCCCTTGCCAGACGTTAGCCGACTGTGTTTTTGGGGTCTCCTCTGGGCTCCGTCCTGTTCCCCGATCGCCCCGAGTCTGTTCTTCTCCGGCAGTGCACTGTCTTGGCCACTGTTTCCCAACACTGTCCCTCGCTTTCAGTATTGTGTAGGTTGTTGTGGTTCTTGCTTCTCATTAAAGACTTTGTAATCAGTTTATTAATGTCCACAAAGTAACCCGCTCAGATTTTTATTGGAATTGCGTTAACTGTATAGATCAAGTCGGCAGACCTGACACCCTGGCGTGCTGAGCCTTCCTGCCCCCAAACATGGAGTGCGTCTCCACTTTTATTTAGTTCTTTGGTTTCTTTCATCAGTTCTGTAGTTTCCCTCATGTAGATCTTGTACGTGTTTTGTTAGATTTATACGCAAATATTTCATCTTCATGGGTGCTAACGTAAATGATAGTGTTTTTAATTTTATTTTCCACTTGTTAATTACTGGTATGTAGGAAAGATTGTGCATTAGCATAGTATCCTGCAACCGTTACAATTGCTTAATAGTTCCAGGAGGTTTTTGTTTTTTCTTTTTCAGTTCTTTTGGATTTTATATTTAGACAATGATGTCGTCTTCAAAAAAGGCAGTTTTATTTCTTCCCAACCTGTGTACCCTTTATTTCCTTTTCTTGTTGTATTGCGTTATTAGGAGTTCTAGTGTGAAGTCAAAAGCTGTGATCTTGATTGTGAACTTAGCAGGAGAGGTTAGGGTTATGAACTAGAAATCTGAAGCAAAAACTGCTTTATTTTGTCAATACCGTTACCCCTCCCCTCTCACATCCTTGCAGTTTTTGAGGTTGTTTGTGGGCAGCCGCAGTCTTCTCTGGGGACTGTCACCTGGGTTCATGTGACGCCAGTGTCTGAGTTTGAGGAGGAGGTCGGGAAAGGAAGTTAGCATTGCCTGGACACCATGGGAGTTAGAGGGCTGTCCTTGGGGTTGGCCTCATTCTTGTGGATGTGGAGTGATGACAGGTGGCCCTTCGGTGGCTGCCTGTGAAAGCAAGAGACCATCATAAAGGACCAACTTAATGATGCCTCTCTCTTCGTGCCACCCTCTCCAGGGAGCCTGGGTCGGAGAAGAGACTGATCCTTTTCCTGTGGTTCTCTTTAACTTTCCTTCCGAGAGGCTCAGGGACAAAGCTATCGGAAAGGGGGTTAGAGCCATCATTAGGGCCTCTGGCTCTGACGCAGGAGGGAAGGAGCAGCTTCCTCAGTGCGGACCAGAGCCTGGCGGGCTCAAAAGGGCACTGACACGCGCCTGGCCTTAGGGCCCAGTGTGCGGGAGAGCCATAGCTTGGAGGCCGGGCGCGTGGGGTGGGTGCGCTGCGTGGGTGAGCGAGCGCTGCTCTGGGTTCCTCAGGCTCGAAGCACATCTCACTGCCTGTCAGTACCACAGTCCTCATGGGTCACCTGGGGCTTTTCATTTAAAGGCCACCCGTGCAAAACCATTTTTACCCTTAGACCTCGGTGTTCTGATTTTTGATTTAGAGATGTTAGTGGGATCAAACCGTATCTGTTTAATTTTCCTTTCAGTTCTGTTGATTCTCATGACCTCCTAGAATCATGCCATCATGTTTTGCTGTATTTACTGTCTCCATCATATTTCTCCCCAGCACTTTTTAAAAAAAATGAGTTTATTTTCAGGGAGGGCAAGGGAGGGAGAGAGGGAGAAACATTGATTGGTTGCCTCACGCCCTGCCCCCAACTTGGGACCTGGCCTGCAACCCAGCCATGTGCTTTGCCGGGGAATTGAACCAGCGACCTTCCAGTTTGCAGGCCAGTGCTCAATCCACGGAGCCACACTAGCCAGGGCTCCCACTTCTTCCTTGTGCCGGCTTTTTTGTTAAAACTCACTGTGTGTTATGTGCTTCACCCGATTTAAAACTAAAGCCTTCATTTTCATGAATCATTTGCTATTTAAAGTTTTGTCCTGGTCTGGGTATCTGCCCTCAGGTCTTCAGATGTTCCAGGTGTGACCTAAATGGCTAAGGGATGCAGGCAGTTGTGGTCAACGCCTTTGAATTTGCCTTTTCACTTTAGCAAAATAAACTCGGAAGCTGCCTGAGTGGTCAGATGACATCTGATAAAATGGTCCAGTGTAAAATGTTGCTTTAAAAGTTTGAGATACGTACCTACCATAAAAGTGGTTGTGCTTTGCCCTTATGTTTATTTATTTTAAAAGATTTATTTTTTAGAGGGGGGAAGGGAGGGAAACAGGGAAACATCAGTGTGTGGTTGCCTCTCACATGCCCCCCGCTGGGGACCTGGCCCGTAACCCAGGCACGTGCCCTAATCTGGAAATCGAACCTGCAACCCTGTGGTTCATAGGCTGGTGCTCAGTACACTGAGCCACACCAGCCAGGGCTGCCCTGTGCTTAAGTAGACTTGGAGGTAAACAAGGAGGAATGAATGGCACCATTGTTTTGTTGTATTTGATGGCCGTCACGTTTGGTTCCGGGGGCTGCCGGTCTGCCTGCCTTCAGCATTTGATGAGAGCAGAGATGAGCCGGTCACGCACCGGAGCTCCTATTACATCGACTGGAACTCTGGCAACTGCGTTGCTTTTAAAAATCAATTCAGTCTACTTTGATGCTGGCTTTTAGGAAAATCATACAACCAAAGATTAGTAATTGATCATTGTTTCTAGATTTTGAAAGCCATGCTTTTTAACTAATTATAGTTAACTTTGTGTGCGTTAAAAAACAGAGGAATGATGCTCTCATTTTTCCCACTCCACTTTGGAACCGGGACACACTGCGCTCTGCTTCCCTGCTGCGCTCCCCGCGGCCTGGAAGCGGCTGGGGGCCAGGCTGCCGTGACCCTGGTCAGTGACACCTGCAAGGCTTTCTTTCCTCCCTAGAAGTTTAAAACGTATGTGAATTAAACTCTGCCATTGAGGAGAGAAAAATGCATTTATGACTCTGAAATGAGCCTTTAAGGATAGTTAACACCAGGAACAAATGTCAAAAGGAGGAAAAGCAGCAGTTTAAATTTTACAAAATGTGACACATTGAAGTGTGCAGGCAGCAAGGAGGCTCCGGTGGGAATTACACCTTGAACAGCAGGGGACCGGGAGGTCGGCCAGGGAGGTGGCGGCAGTAAGAGGTAACGGGGATCCCCTGCTGACGGCAGCAGTGTGGAGAGGCTGGGGGCGACTTAGGTGCGCCTCGAGTCTGGTCTCAGAATGTTTTAATGCTTTCTGCTCACATTGGACGTGTTCTGTTCTTGATTAGACTGATGTGTTAAGTGAATTTTACGTTTTATTATCGCAGATTCTATTATTATTAGAATCTTCTCCTGCTGGCAGGGCTGACAGTCCGGGTTTGAGCAGGATGACGAGCGAGCGAGCAGGAGGGGTGTTGGTCACCTCTATTTGGAAACGCCCGTCATCCTGGTCAGAGCAGAGATGTGTTGTGTCCTCTCTCAGAGGGGGACAGTTTGGGCACTAGTGCAAAGTCAAGTCTGTGGCAGATGCTGGAATGTGTCGTTTACCAAGCCCAGGGCACCTGGAGCCAGGCATTGCATTTCCTGGTGGTTTTCCCACCTGTGGGAAGTTTGGGCCGCTTCTCTGGCCCACATGGTGTGTGTGGCTCCTTAGGACAGAGGGCGGGTGGTCTGTCCCGTTCAGTGGTGCAGGGCTGACGAGTTGGACAGTTCGGGTCGTTGGGTACTCACGATAGCACTGTCACAGGGTCACCTGGACCCTTGGGCCAGGTTGAGGGCAAGAACTTGAAGGGCTTAGGAGCTGACGACTCAGCAGCTGTTTTCTTTCTGTTTTGTTAGGTGGAGGAACAGGTGGACTCAGGTGTAGAAGCTTTTGTGCCAGTGCCTAGTTTAACTTTGCTTGGTTTTGTTGACGAAGGAGAGTGAGGAGGCCCTTTGGGGTTCAGTCAGGAGTCTAGGGGGTTGATGGCAGGGCCCTCTGTAAAGGGCTGCGTGACTAGTGATGCCGCCGTGGAGTAACCGGTCCCCCTTGTCTGAGGGGTGCTTCGAGTGTCTTGGGGGACACGTACGTGCCTATCTCGGCCCTCACTGATGAGCCTGCTGGCCCCTGAGGTCCGCGCTAACCTTGGTTACCTCTCTCTGTGGGCAGCTCCCTCCCATCCTGTGGGAAGGGGAGGACTCCCCGGGGGCCCACGTGGGTCAGGCCTCCGTGTTTGTCCTGATGGAGCCAATGCTCTCTTACCAGGAGGAGGAGGAACAGGAGGAAGAAGACGACGACGAGGACGACGACGACACCGACGATCTGGATGACCTCGACACCGACCAGCTGCTGGAAGCGGAGCTGGAGGAAGACGACAACAACGAGAACGCAGGGGAGGACGGGGACAATGACTTCTCTCCCTCTGACGAGGAGCTAGCAAACCTCCTCGAGGAGGGAGAGGACGGGGAGGACGAAGACTCTGATGCCGACGAGGAAGTGGAACTGATCCTGGGGGACAGTAAGTCCAGGACTGCCCACGGGCTGAGCCTTGGCCCCCAGGGAGGGGCGCCGTCCCTGTGCCAGCCCAGCCCAGCGTGGACGCCACCCCAGGGCTCTGCGCCCCTTAGCCGACCCCCTGGGGGAAAGCAGTTTCCCACGTGCGTCCTCTGCTCTCCCGTCAGGCTGTGGAGCCAAACAGCTGTTGCCCCTTAGCTTGAACAGAGGCTGGCAAGCGGTTTCTGTAGAGGCCGTGCAGCCCCTGCTTCCCACTTTGCGGCCCACGTGGTCTTTGTTGCAGCTTCTCAACTCCTCTGTCGCACGGTCAAAGCAGCCAGAGGCAGACCAAGTTCATGGTCGTGGCCTTCGGAGGGCAAGCCTCCAAATGAAGGCCTGAGTGTAGTTCTTTCCGAGGGCAGAGCTGGCACCTCTGTACCTGCTCCTTCTTCAAGTTCTCCAGCAACAAAAAGCCCTCTTGTGGAGGAGCCCTTTCCTGTCTGCTTTTGCCTTAAAAGGCCAGGGGGGGCAAAGTTTCTTTGGCTTTGTTTGTTCTTTCCTCCCCCCCACCCCAAATTAGAAAGAAAAAGCTCCCATTTGCAGCAGCACTGTTTCCAGAGGACACATTGGGCAGCGCGTCGGCGGTGTGTCCCTGTTGGCAGACTCTGCTCGCGGCCATCCGGCCTCCCTAGTGCTGCCCCGCCGACCAGGGGCTGTCCCCGTGACCTCTGGCCCTTTCTTGAGTAGCTAGCCGGGCCAGCATCCTCAGCCTCGGTGTCACACCGAAGAGTGGCCACGAACCACACGTGGCCATTAAAATTTTAATGCAGTTTAAAAATTTGTTCCTCATTTCCATGTTCATGTTTCAAGTGCTCAGTAGCTTCATGGGGCCGTCATACTGAACAGCACGAATACACGCTTACATCATCATGGAAAACTATTGTGCTGGCCTGGGCCCGGCAGGTGCTGCACCGTGTGCTCACTGGTGTGCGGCGAGAGCGGCAGACAGGTGCTCGGACGAGCTGTGCTCTCACGCGCCTCTGGCCCTCGGGGTGGGAGGCGGCGGCGTGGGGGAGCAGTGCCTTCCAGCTGCCCACCTGCCATCGAACCAGCTCCTGTGTTCCCTTGTGGAGGGAGAGGGCATTAGTCACGGTCAGGGAGCCAGGTAAGAGGGACCAAGGGGCCAGGGACACACGGCAGCACTGATGACACCAGGGCAAGTGTTACGGATCCTTTCTGTCGTCCGAGTTGCGGCACGCGGGCACGAGTTCGTCTCCCTTCCGTTATGAGCAGCAGCAGCAGCGCAGGCTAAGGGAGCAGCTGCCGGCGGTGCCCCCGAGTGTCACCGGCCTTCCCGTTCTTGCCCGCGTGGTGAAGCCCCTCACTGTGTGAGTGGCGGGTGAAGTTCTGCCTCCTTTAGCCTCCGCTGCTTGGGAAGTCTCTCGTTCCCAGCTCAAGTCGACGTGGAGCACTCCAGTTCTGTCAGCAGTGACAGAAGCTGCTTTAACTTGGTGGGACGGTCTGCGGTGCAGAAATGCCACGGCAGATGACGGTTGGAAGCCATTTTGGCTCGGGCTCTAGGACTGAGGCGGTGACAGAGGTGGCGCCCGCAGCGTGTATTCCGCTGCTGTTTCTGAGACCCATGGCCACTCACGACGGAGCAGGGCGCACTCCCCGCACCTCTGGGGAGGCTCTGCCTCACACCGGCCCCCGCAAGCGGTAGTGCTCCGTCCTTTGGGGCTCGTGAGCCCTTTCGGGGACGAGGAGAGCCACCCAGACCGGAGACCACCTCTGCGCCCCTGCCGGCCTTGCCCAGTGCTGGACTCCCGGCGCGCAGCCCTCACTGAGGCTGGTCTTTCCCCCAGAGCCCGTGTGTCCACTGCGGCACCCGCTGTGTCTCTACACCCAGACTGCCTTTGCCCTGGGGCCTTGGGAAGTGGGGGCCTGACCAGGGTCTCCTGGGAGGCGAGGACAGAGGTAGAGAAGGAAGTCCCGGCGCCTGGGCACCTGGGGGCGCTGCTGGCGTCCAAGCCCCGAAGGCCGCGGGCCCTGCGGCTGACGCACGCACGAGGGAGGTCGGGATGGGATCCAGTCCTGACGCAGAGTCCTGGTGCAGGGCCGCGTTGTTGAGACTCTCACTGGCTGCACAGCCGCGGGCCACACGGGTCGGGTCTCGGGCAGGCGGGTCTGGCGTTGGTGGCTCCCAGCGGGGACCCCTGGGATCCTGGGCCACGGGCACGTGGGAAGTGCCGGCAGCACGGAGCTGAGCAGGCTGTGGGGTCGGCTCTGCGAGCTCCTCCATTCTCTGCCGCAGCGCCCTCCTCACCGGTAACGGCGGCCGCGTCGTGCCCATTCCGACCGGGGCCACTGGTTTCTCCAGCCACCACTTTGGCTTATTTTCAGGACTTTCTTAAATCGTGGCCACGCTTTTCTTCGTTTCCCTTGATCCATTTCCGTTTTCTTCCTGAAGGAGGCTGTAGTGAATGGGGGGAGGTCTGGGAACACGCTTTGTTCTCCTGCAGCCTTTCCAAGCCGTCCCTCCAGCACCCGGGGAGGCTGACGCGGGCTCGCGTGGGGCCGGGTGGCGTCACCTCCCCTGGGGGGGCCCCAGGGCCCCGGCCAGTCCCGTCGGCTTCCTGAGCTGGGTCAGCAGGGGGGGCACGGAGACCTTCCCTGCCCCCCTGCCCCCTCCACTCGGCAGAGACCGGGGCCCCGGGGAGCGGGGCATCAGCTCACTCTCCCTGCCGGCCGCCCCCCCCCCCCCGCCCCTTCACGGAGCCTGTTCCCCGCAGGTTACATTCGGGAGTTGGAGAGGACCGAGTCCCAGGGTGACCGCCTCTGCCTCTGTGGGCTCTTTTGAGTTGAACAGCAGTCTTTTTTTTTTTTTGCCTGCGCTCAGGCAGGCCTGTGCTCACCCGAGACTCTGGAGGCCCAGGGGGGAGGGGCTCACCCCGTCCCTGCAGCCCTGCCCCACCCCAGCCACTGACGGCACCACAAACAGAAGCTTGGGTTGGGGGTCGGGGGGCGTCGCCTGGTCCCTTTAGGGCCTCCAAGGCAGCAGGGACCTCTAGAAATCAGAGGTCACCACACCCAGGTCCCTTTAAAGGGGAGAGCAAGAGGTCCCGGGGTGACCGCTGTTGCCAAGAAGTATGTTCTCCAGAGCCAGCTGCAAGGAGTTAGTTAATTGATGTGCTTTCCTCCTTTGGAAAAGGTAATTGGCCTCGCCGGGACCGAGTGTGCCCGCGCAGGTGCTCCTCTGGAGAGCCGCCTGGGCGCCAGGGCCTAACGGGCCTCTCCCTCTGCTTACCTTGCAGCCGACAGCTCGGACAACTCCGACCTGGAGGACGACATCATCTTGTCTCTCAACGAGTGAGGAGCCGGCACCACGCGGAAGGTTCTTGGCAGGCGAGAAACCGAGTCAAACGAATTCATAGCGCCTTCCCCCCCCTCCCTCCCAGGGCTGTGTCTCCTAAGGAACTGCGTGGCCTGCGCTCAGGACTGTGGCCGAGTCTCCCTGGGGCCCAAGGACGCTTCACGAGTCACCACCACCGAAGACGGCAGGGTCGGCCCTGGTCTGCCTCCCCTTCCCGGGATGGACGTAGCTTTCCTCAAGGGGAAAAAAAAAAGTCTCTGGGGTTATTTCACAATATATTTTCTTTGTATAATGTCCTTTACTTAAAGAACAAGAAATAGTTTTTTAGAAAACTTAAAAAGAAAAAAAAAATCCAGGCATTTATAACTGAGGGTATGAACTTATATCCACCAGGTCCTTGTCCCACTTCATTTTCTATGGAAGAAAATGACGTCTAAAGAACAACAGAGAGGCATTTTTACATACGTATTTAAATGAAAAGGAAAATCGTGGTTTCTTAAATTGATAAGGATTAAGAATATTTTATTATAAATATAATATATGATTTTTTAACCTGTTCCGTTGCCTCACACGCTGTCAGGTTGCTTTGTTCCCCTGGGAGCTGGGGTGGGAGGGAGGCTCCGTCCGGGGGCGGGAGCTCCGAGGCTCGCCCCACGCCCCGCCCCTGCCCCGCGTGGGCAGGAGGGCGCGGACGCTGGCTTGTGGAGCCGAGGGAACTTAGGATATGAGTTCACTCCCTCTATTTCTCTTTGTCCTTCAGTTTTTTTCAAGAAACTTCTTTTTCTTCCCTTTCTCCCCAGTGTGGAAATTACAAATCAAAGGCCTTTTTCTTTAATGTAAAGTGTATTTATTTTAAAAAATACAAAATAAACTACAAGTCTGTCTTTGTTTATGGCCTTTCCCTGTCCTCCCTGTCCCTGCAGCTCTAGCCAGGCAGTGAAGGTGCCTTCCGAGAGGCGGCCCAGGGCGGCGGTGAGCACACCTTCTGCCCAAAAAGCACTCTGGGGAGAAAAGTAGCTGAGTCCTAGCGTCCGCCCCAGGAAGAGCACTCGCAGGGGCCGAGGGGGCGCCCAGGGCATTGCCCGCTGTGGACACCTCCATCCCTGGGCCCGGAGCACGGGGCTGTGGAGCTGTCAAGCTAGGGGTCCCGGGACACTGGCTGTATCTGCAGGCGGGGGATGCGGCCCTGAAAGGCCGTGTTCCAGGGGCCTGGTCAGCCCGGGTGTGCAGACACCCCACGGGCCCCTAAACTGGCCCCTGGGGAACTGCGCCACCCCGGGGGCTTCACGTCACACTCAGCCCAGCCCAGTCCCACCCCCCTCCCCCTCCCCTCCCCACCCTAGCAGGAGCCCCTTAGTCCCTTTCTTCCTTCGAGTTTGCCCACGCAACCGAGAGCTTCTTGGTTACTATCATGGTAGGGAGGGAGCTCAGAGAAGCGCGGGCAAATGTGGTCGCGAAGCAAACGAGACAAGATGGCCACAACTCACCAGGGGCCGGTAAGGCCCTGCCGGGCTCCGGAGCACCACACAATCTGCCACACACACGGAAGCGGGCCTGTGTCGCTCAGGCACCTCTCGGTCCTCTACAGAGCAGAGGTCTCAGCTCCTAAGGTGCTTCATGCCTCAGCTCAAACAGGCTGCTAACACCTAACCAGTGGGCTACTTTGCTGGTGCTGAATGGGTTAGAAGAAAACGGGTTAACAGAACAGCAAAAGCACTCGCTACATCGCAGCAGTTAACCGAGCCGCGGTCTCCCTGCCGTCCGCCCGAGCTCCTGGGAGCACCGCAGGTCTCCCAGGCGGAGGGGGAGCGCCAGCAGCGCCGCAGACGCCCGGTTGACTTGACGACACGCCCCCGGGGACGAGCCCTTGGAGCGGCTAAGGGACGTGGGCCCCTGCCTCGCCCCCGGGGCTGGAGGGCCGGTCACACGGGAGCGCACGCACGGAGCAGCAGCGACCCGGCACGGGCGGGTTCTGCCTCACGCGGGTTTTGCACTCAGGCACCACCCTCCACGGGACCCAGACCCCAGGGGAGGCCCTGACCACCCGAGGGTGTCACTAGTTAGTGCTGGACACGGCCTTTCTGAGCCGCCACAGAACCTGTTGCATCTTAAGAGTCGAAGGAAGGAAGTGGGGGAGGGGGAGGGCCTGGGGGGGGAGGAGGGCACCGCAATGGGCTGCGGTTCTTCACCAAAACTAGTTCCTGGGGGGCGGGGGGCAAGAGAACCCCTATCCCTGCAGGGAGGACAGCACGAGGGTTGGAAAGGGCCTTCAATCAGGTTTCCCAGCTCGTTCTGGGAAGGCTGGGGGCACAGTGTTCTGGTCCTGAGCACCCACTCGGAAGGCACCTGCAAGGCAGCTCTGGCCGCGGCCCGGCATTTGCCGTGGGTGTGCGGGCGGCCCCGCAGTGTGCCTAGAAGCCAGCCCTCCAGCACCTGCCCTGAGCGAGGGGAAGCCCCCTCTCCCGGGACGGTGTGGCTGTGGCCTGCCGGGCCCCCACGGACGCGCTCAGGTGCAAACAGGCAGACACATCCAGCACTCCCTCCGTGTGCTGACGTTTTGTTGTGAACTTGCTGATTCCCTGGTGAGCACCAGCCGAAGCCCAGAGAGCGGTGCTTCCCCAGGCACCTTCCCTGTTTGTTTAAAATCTCCAAGGTCTCAAAAGACGGCTCTCTCACTGTCCTTGCGGAGAGGCAGCCTCAGGCTCCACCTCCCAGCCGTCACCGCACAGCCCTGACTGAGCTGGCTGGGGAGAGCTTGGCGTGGCCCTGACAGGGACCCTTCTGGAACGCCCAAACCAGCACACTTAAACGTTCAGTGGTGCTTGTTCTACGCTGACAACCGCTGTGTGACACGGCCTTCGTTCACCAGTGCTGGCCACACTGGCGCACCAGACACGCGCGATCACAAGTTAACGCTCATTCAAGGCGCCTTGCCCTCCCAGCTCAGGGCTGGCCCCCGTCCCTCCAGCTTGGCGCGAATGGCCCTGAGCTCTAACACTGCCCGACACCTCCGAGACAGACCGCACTTCCCCACAGAGGCGCCATCTCCCAGGGGTCTCCCCCTCCGCGGGGTCTGGACCGGAGGCCTCGGCACTCTCACCTGGCACACCTGAGGAAGGTACGCCACAGCACGTTCCTGACCTGCTGCACCTCGCGGCCTCACAACACTGTTCAGACCAGGGACTCCTCCACACAGACCTCCTCCACACTGACACGACAGCGGTGAACGACCAAAGGAAGAGCCAGAACTCACAAGTTCACGGATAAGCCAGGAGAGCGGCCTCCCACTCTCCGTTCCAGCACTCGGCCCCCAGTGTCCCTGGGGGCCTGAGGCAGCTGTCTCCAACTGTGTGTCCCTGGTGGCGGCCCTGAGGCGAGACAGGAAGCTGAATGAGAGGCAGTCCCCGAGGACCTGTGGCACCAAGGCCCCCGGGCACCGATGCCAACTGCTCCTCCCTGCAGGAGCACACAGCTGCTGAGACCGCCTGCTTCCCAAAGGCCTTCAGATCGGGCGCGTCGTCCCACAGCTACAGCTCAGCTCAGACTGACGGACACACGTCTAGGGGAGAACCACCGAGACCACACACCACCACAGCCGCTGGCTGGACCTCGGGCGCGCCCCTTCCTTCGCACGAGCCCGTTCAGGCCGGCAGGGCGGGGGCCGGAGCGCAAACCGAAGCCCACCGGGGCTCAGCCGAGACTCCAAGCCAGCGTGCGCGCGCACAGTCCCGACTCGGCCCGCTCCGCGGAGGGCGGAGAGCCGCCGCTGCAGCGGGACCCACAGTGGGACCCAGAGACACGCCAGGGCTGGAGAGGCGGCGACTCGGGGCGTTCCGTGCATGCAGGGGGGGTAGGTCTTCCATCTCTGAGAAAACACTTGATTAAACCAGGACTCTGAACGGGATTAAAAATCCATCCTCTGACAAAGGCTTTACTGACAACTTTCCATACAGTTAGTCAAAAAATAAAAAAATACAGAACACAGCAGACAGTATCTCGTACACTAGAAATCAGCATGACAGCAGTCCGTCTCATCGCCGTAAAAAACCCCCACACCGAAGGGCTTAGTTTCGGCGGGGAACAGGACGCGGGGTCCCCGACCCAATGAACCAACACAACCCAGCAGAAAATTCAAGCTGAGGGGGTGGGACAGAGGCAGGGGCCGAGACTTCAAAATAACTGCTTCTGTGGCGCGCACGTGGGGCCGGGAAGGACGGGCCTGGGCTAGGCGGTGTCTCTCACTATGACTATCACCATGTGCTCCTCCTCCAGCCTGCCCAGTGTCCTCAGGGCTGACTGGAGGTACTGCTGTGAAAAGTCGCAGGGCGGGAAGGCGTACAGCATGCCCGTGCTGTCTCTGCCCTTGGAGCCCCCCACCGGCAGGCTGATCACCCCCGCCGCCTGCTTCTGTTTCAAGTAGGAGACCAGGTTCCTGAGAAGGCGCCTCTGGAGGCCTGGCTCCACCACGGGCAAGCCCTCGGGGCCGGGCCCGCCGGGGGCGGCCTGCGTGGCCAGCAGCACGGCGTAGCCGTTGGGGCTCCCCTGCTTGATGCGCCGCGTGACCTCGTCGAGCTTGGGCTGGTCCAGCCGAAGGCGCTGGGCGATCTTCAGCTGCGTCAGCTTACTCCCGGAAGTGTGGTCTTTGAGGAGGCCGCTGATCACCCCCTGGTCCCCCTCGAGGATGTGCATAGATGTCGGGAAGCAGCTGTTCTTCAGCACTAGAAGCCCGCTCCAGCCCAGCTGCAGCGTCTGGGCGTACTCCGAGAGATTTTTGAGCTTTTTGGTCTCGTGTTTTGGCTCTTCCGGAGGCTTCGGCTCGGCCTCCGAGGTCCGATGATTGCGCTCGCTCTCGCGGGTCTTCTTCCCGTGCGAAGAGTCTTGAGCCTCGTGGTGGTGATGCCCCCGGTCCTCGGCCCCGTGCCTGCTGTTGCTGAGGGAGTTGCTGCTCGACTCCTTGGTCCCTTCGCTGGAGTGGTTTTCCTTCCGGCTGCGCTCAGGCGTGCGGTCGGAGCCCCGGTCGGCCTGCTGCCCACCGCCCTTGGTCCTGCTCC